GTTTCTTGGGCATAACTTATTTATGAATGTACTGTTATTGTGCACGTACTTTTTGTACCTCAGCAGAAGGCTGAGTCATGAGGGGCGTCTACTGAGGGGTGTATTGAGGTGTGTAATGTGGGACCAGGAGCGGGATGTGCCACTGGCGGCTTCATCAGGAATCTCTCTGAGCAAGAGGGAATGAGAGGCCAGAGAAGGGTGGGGTTCTTGCCTACTGGGATCAGCACCGGTAGTCCTTGACTTATGACTACAACTGGGACCAGAAGTTCTGTTGTTAAGCGAGTCGGGCCTGCTTTGACGTGACCTTTCGCCACAGTCGCTGAGTGAATCAGACAGGTGTTAAGTGAATCCTGCTTCCTCCATTGGCTTTGCTTGTGGGAAGCCAGCTGGGAGGTTCGCAAGTGGTTGATCACATGACCTCTGGATGCATTGCAAGCGTTGTGAACGCCAGTTGCCGAGCACCTGAACTTTGATCGTGTGACCGTGGGGAATGCTGCGATGGTTGTAAGCGTGAGGACTGATCGTAAATCCCTTTTTTCAGTGCCAGTGTAACTTTGAACAATGGCTAAAGAGATGACTAGTAAGGGTAAATTCCCAGACCATGGATCAGTTGAAGGCAATCCTGAGACTGAGTCCCCTGGCATGGAGACCAATCAGACTGGAGCTTGGAGACCTTCTAGAATCTAGTCCTGCCCGCTTTCCAAGCAGGAGACCTTCTCCCATTTCAGACAAGGGGCTGTCCAGTCTCCTCTTCAAACCTCCAGTGATGAAGCATCCATAACTTCTGAAGGCAAGCTGTTCTCCCGATTAATTGTTCTCACTGTTAGCAAGTTTCTCCTCAAATTGAGGTTGCTTCTCTCCTTGATTAGTTTCCATCCCTTGTTTCTTGTCTTACCTTCTGGTTGCTTTGGAAAATAAGTTGACCCGCTCCTCTTTGTGGCAACCCCTCAAGTACCGGAAGACTGCTATCATGTCCACCCTAGTCCTTCTTTTCTCTAGAAGGGGCCAAACCCGGTTCCTGCAACCGTTCTTCATATGTTTTAGTCTCCAGGACTTTAGTCCTCTTAGTTGTTCTTCTTGGCGCTTTTTTTTTTTTTCCAAAGCCTCAGCATCTTTTTTGTAATCCGGGGACCAAAACTGGATGCCGCGTTCCAGGTGTGCGGCCTTATACTAAGGTATAAGTGATCATCACGATCATCCTAAATACATTCGTCATGAATCAGGGAATCCTGGATGACGGAAAGGTTTTGGAAGAAGGGAAAAGGGGCCGGGGGGGGCAACTCTGCCTGCTTGTTTTTGTCCATCAAGTGTAGATTGCAGCAAAGTTGCTTGTGCTGTTTCCCCGTGGCTGATAAGATAGAGAGAGAGGAGGAGGGAGAGAAGAGAGAGAGAGAGAGAGAGAGAGACGGAGGGAGGGAGACAAGAGAGAGACAGACAGACAGACCTCGGTGGTGTTCTGTCTTCATCTCTTGGAAGACACAGCCATAATACCAATTTCTAAGGGGAGGCGGGGTGTTATGGCTGGAGGGCCCGATTGCTTCTGCAGATCCCAGGAGCCAGCCTGCGAGAGATAAAAATCGGCTGTCTCCTTTTATCAGCGCGGTGTTGGCTCCCAAACTAGAACGCCAGGGCAGCGTCTCTCAAGGTTGCGTGTCTGGAGTTCCTGATGAATTGCTCTCATTCACTGGGGTGCAAAGGGAAAGCGGGGGTGGGGGCTGTGGGGGGGTTGGGGTGGGCTGGGGTGAGGTGGGAGGGTGTCCTTCTCTCCTTCACAGGGATATGTCGACTTTCTTTGGCCTCTGCTGCAAATATTGGAAGATGATTTGAAGGGCAATTCTGGTTCCCTCCTCCCCGCTGCCAATTGAGGAGAGGGATCCATTCAAAGTGTCCGCAATCTGGCCAGTATAGGTTGTCCTGGACTTTCAACGGTTCATTTAGTGTCCGTTTTGATGCTACAGCGGCATTGCGGGGGGGAAAGGACCTTACGGGTGTTTTTAACACCACAGAGGCGACATCCCCATGGGCGCCTGATCAAAATTGAGGTGCTTGGCCACTGACTCATATTTATGACGGTGGCAGTGTCCCCTTTTGCCACCTTCTGACGAGCAGAGTCAGTGGGGGAAGCCAGATTCACTTAACAGCCATGTTACTGACTTCGCATCCGCTGTGGTTCACTTAACAGCTGTGGCAAGAACAGTCATAAAATGGAGCAAAACTCACTTAGCAAAAGCCTCACTTAGCAACAGGAATGTTGGGCTCAGTCGAGGACCACCTGTAGCTGTTTGGGCTCAGTAGCAAAAAGTGTTCCAAAGTCTAAGGAAGAGCCTTGGTTTGCTGGATCAGATCCCACCCAACTCACGATTCCCTCTTTGTGTAAAATTGTCTGAGGTTATATAATAAAGTGTGTGTTGGTGTGGTCCTTTCAGCAGAAATTTCATTATCGCCGTTTGAAACACCCCCCCTCTCCTTCATACCATGTTCCCTAGCCTGGTAGAGAATATAGAATAGAATGGAATTGGAATTGGAGTGGAACGGAATAGAATAGAATCCTTTATTGGCCAAGTGTGATTGGACACACAAGGACTTTGTCTTTGGTGCAAATGCTCTCAGTGTACATAAAAGAAAAGATACATTTGTCAAGAATCATCAGGTACAACACTTGATGATAGTCATAGGGTACAAGTAATCAATCAAATCATACTAGGAAACAGTCAATAAAAGTTGTTAGGATACAAGCAACAAGGTTACAGTCATACAGTCATAAGTGGGAGGAGATGGGTAAAAGGAGTGATGAGGGGATTAATAGTAATAGTAGTGCAGACTTTGTAATAGTTGAACAGTATTGAGGGAATTATTTGTTTAGCAGAGTGATGGCGTTCAGGGAAAAACTCTCCTTGTGTCTAGTTGTTCTGGTGTGCAGGGCTCTATAGCGTCGTTTTGAGGGAAGGAGTTGAAACAGTTTATGTCCGGGATGTGAGGGGTCTCACAGAAGGGAAACATCGGCAAGAGAAGAACTAAGCTCAGAGATCAACAAGAACCCAATAGTTCAACCCTGAATGTCCATGGAGATTCTCAGTCAGCCAGTTTTGATTCTCATCCAAGAAGCTTCTATAGCTTATAGAAACTTCTTGGATGAGAAGCAAAATGTCTTCAAAGAAAAACCAGAAAGTCCAGCCGCCTCTTGAAAAAGCACCTTTGGGACAGTTTAACTCTGAGCCAAAGATATTCCATTCTGTTGAAGCTCCAATGTATTTGGTTGGCCCTGCAGCTAGTTTTCAACTTACGATCACAATGGTGCCCAAAATTTCTGTTGCTAAGTGAGACAGTTGTTAAATGAGCTTTGCCCCCATTTTACAGCTTTCCTTTCTTACGGTGGTTAAACGAACCACTGCATTAGTAACATGGTTGTTAAGTGAATCTGGCTTTGCTTGTCAGAAGGTCGCAAAAGGCTATCACATGACCCCAGGGCTGCAACCGTCATAAATATGAGTCAGTTGCCAAGCGTCTGAATTTTGATCACATGGCCATGGGGATGCTGTAATGGACGTAAGTATGAAAAACGGCCATAAGTCACTTTTTTCCATTGCAGTTGTGACTTCAAACAGTTGCTAAAAGAACTATTAGTATGTTGAGGACTGTATGTATTTTCTTCCCTTTGCTGATCATACATGCCTGAGAATCATGAACCACCCCTGGTGGAAAACCAGCCATCAGGTGCTCACAATCCTAAAATAGGTGATTCATTTGAATTGAAGGAACACAGATTCTCCTGTTCCTTATTCCTATGATTTTTTTTTTAAGCTTGGTTTTCAGTTCTAGCTTCATGGCAACCCAAGAGTCTCGTCTGACAACCGACGGCTTATCTCTGATGACTTCCTTTATCCTCACCCCCCACCCCACCCCGGGCATCCCAATCTAATATGGCAGCCTTGTTGATTTCTAGTGGTCAAGCAGACAACGTGCTTTTCACTACGATTGTTTCGGTGCTTATTTACAGTCTCCTACCTGGTTACTCACCAGGTTTAGCCTCTTTGAGATCAACCATGGTTGCCCCATGCTGAGTTAGAGCAAAGAAAAAGTACTTTTTTAAATTCCAGCTGTGCATTCTGGTGGGCATCTGGGTGAGGACCCAGATTATTGGGGGCAAGATGCGGACTCTGTAAACCGCTAAGAAAGGGGCCGTAAAGCCCTGTGAAGTGGCATAGAAGTCTAAGTGCTATTTGCTATTGGTCAAAATCTGAGGAGGTTGGTCAGGGCTGATAAAAGCTACCATTCGCCTGGTCTCGATATAGGAGCATGTTTGTAGCTCAGGGTTGACATGAGGGGTCCTTTGTGCTCTCTGAGCTTGCTTGGTTTCTTGCAAACGTTTCATTACCCTAGCAATAGCACTTAGACTTACATACTCTAAATGGTTTACAGAGTCAGCCTATTGCCCCCAACAATTTTTTCCTCATTTTACCGACCTTGGAAGGCTGAGTCAACCTTGAGCCTGGTGAGATTTGAACTGACAAATTGCAGGCAGCCGGCAGGCAGCAGAAGTAGCCCTGCAGTACTGCATTCTAACCACTGCGCCACCACGACTCTTAACCATGATGTTACCTAGTTAGGGTAATGAAAGGTTTGCAAGAAAACAAGCTCCGAGACCACCAAGGACCCTTCATTCGTCTGGTCTCTTTCCTGTCCAGTCCACTTACCCTGTGAGCTCGTTCTGAAGAAGGCCTTCTTGGAAACCCCTCGGTGACTTTCCTCCTGGTTGATCTTTCCTTTCCTTGCCTGAATTCTAAAACCCAGCCATCCATTAAGAGACGATCCATTCCTTAGTGTCACAGTTTTATCAAGAGCTACTTAGCGATCACTTGTTCCTTTCGCCAGGCATCATTGTAAAACAAGTGTGCAGCTCTGACTTAAGGCTCCCTTTGGCATCCCTCAGTTAAAGCAGCTCTAAAGGAGGCTTAACCCTTTGATGCCTCTGTGTTCATTTTTCCCTCTGCCTTCCACAGGGTTCGGGAGAGAGTTATTTGGAGAGAACAGAGCGCTTATATCTCCAGATGTGCTCGACACGAGAAAAGGTGAGGCACCCTGGCATCTTCCCCTCTTACTGCAACCCGACAGAAGTGTCGGGACCCAGGATACTTAACCCAAACCTGGTTTGCAATTCAAATGCTCCTGGGTTTATGACCGGTTGCTTAGCAACTGCTTAAAGGCCCCACAGGCCTCCCCGGTGAACAGTTGCAACAAGAACTGGATCACGCACATCACAAAAGTCACATGATTGTACTGCAGGCACTCAGGAATCAGCTGTTTGCAGCGTCCTGCGGCCACGTGGCCACATTTTGTGGCATTTTTGCTAAAAATGGGCATTTCTGCCTTGTTGCCGGCAAAAACCTGGTCCTGCAGGATTCATTTAATGACCGCCACACAAAGATTGAAAAATTGGCTCAGTCATTGGGACCAACCTGATTTACGACCGTAATGGGCAAGCTCCATTACAGTCATAAGTTGAGGACTACTTGTACCTGTGTCACGAAAGAGCACTCAACTACACTTGGAAAAGCCATTTGTCTTACTTAACATACGATTTGCCCTCAGCAGGTTGAGACCTGGCTGGGGGATGCAGAATTTCCTCACCCGTTTTGTTTCCTTAGAGCAGGGGTCTCCAACCGTGGCAACTTTAAGACTTGTGGGCTTCAACTCCCAGAGTTCCTTAGCCAAGACTCCTTCATTGCGTCCATCCACTCAGTTACTGACATGGATGGGGTGGGGAGGTCCCTTGGCAGTTCAGGCCTGGGAATGAACTCCATCCCAGTATTAATTTGGAAAGGTGTTAATCCAGTACTACTATGTACAGCATTATTGTAAGCAACTTCTGCAAACGGCAGCAAATCAGCCCAGTTAGTTTGTTGATAATTCACATAACACCTTAAATATTGCAATAATTTGGTTAGTTTTCTCACACCATCCATTAGTTTGTGCGTGAAATCCTGAGCTCAGACCTTGAGAGGATCCAATTGCTTTTATAAATTCCCTCCAGAATTTTGCAGTAAACTGAACCCCTCTATCAGAAATGGTTCTGCGAGGCATTCCATGCAATCTATATACATGATTCACAATCATTTTGGATAATTTCTTGGCTGATGGTACTCCTGGGCATGCAACAAAATGAGCTTGTTTGGAAAATAAATCCACTACAGTGCCCCCCCACTCTCAGGTAAATTTACTATAAAATCCATCCCTATCTCCTCCCAGGGCCAGGATGGTTCTGCTACAGATTGTAATAATCCTGGAGGTTTTCCTGGTCTGGTTTTCCTTGTGGCACTAGTGGCACAACTCTTTTCATAATCCTCAATGTCTTGCTTCATTTTTGGCCACCAAAACTGGCGTCTGACCATGTGTTGGGCTTTTAAATATCCAAAATGTTTTGCTTGTTTTGAGTCATGACAAGTCTTAAAGTTGCCACGGTTGGAGACCCCTGCCGTAGAGATCCCAAAATACCTGAGGCAAGAAAAGTTGTAAAATGGAGCAAACTCACTTAAGAAATTTCTCCCTTAACAACATAAATGTGGGGCTCAAGTTGAGGACTACCTGTATAATGATTGCTTTTTCTTCCCTCAACCACCCAAGGGAAAGCCTTTTTTTTAAACCATTAAAAGTCTTGGCCTTAAAATAGGAAAGCTGATGACCCCATTCTTCCAGACCTTAATCCTACTGCGGGTCAGTCACTCCTTTTCCATCTCATCAGCTTTTAAGATGGGTGGACTTCAAAGCCCAGAATTCCTCAGCCAACATGGCTGAGGAATTTGGGGAGTTGAAGTCCACCCATCTTAAAGTCGCCGAGATGCAGAAGAACCAAGGTGAAGGTAGGTCTCCTGGGCCCCCTTCCCAGATTCTTACCCGTGGTTTGTTCTCTCCTCACAGAATCTGATGGGTGACCAAGAGCAACTGAAGATTCAGGTGACAGAACTGGAGGAGGAAGTCAACACCCTGCGGAAGATCAACAAGAGTCTCTTCGACTTCTCCAGCTCTATCATCACCTCAGCCAAATAGAGAGAGCAGCCTCTGAATCCTGGCTAGAGGTGGAAGGAGAGACAAGCCGGTCAGGGTTCATCTTGGACGCAGCCATTTTCCTCCTTGACAATGTTTGATGGGGTCGTGTACAGTTGCAGAGATACGCTCTTGTAACCAGCGGGGCTGGACATGGAAGTCTGTAGCATCCAGGTGTTCTGGGAGGAGACCTACCCCCCCCCCGCCTCCCCCAAAAAATATCTTTATGGGTAGATAGCAGACAGTATGAAAGGAGAATAACCCAACAGGGAAAAGAGATGGCCCCTTTTATTTTACAGCATTTTTTCATCCCACAAAGTCCTTTCATCACTCCTCAAACAGAGCAACTATAGATGTTCCTCCAGATGCCGTCACCCCCTTTTTCTCCAGTCGGAAATCACGCGGCTGCTTTAAAATTCCTCGCGTGCTTGGGAACTTCTGGGGGTTGAAGACAACCGTGGGCTTCGAATGCATCCCACTCAGGAGGTGGAACTGCCCGCCTTGTCATGGCCGGGGAGAGGGGACAATGGACTAAGCACAAAGAATGACCTGTGAAGCTGGACTGAGCACAGAGGCTTCCTGCCCTCAAGATCCTGCCGGGGGGGAAATGGAGAGATGGGGAAGATTTTGTCATGTTTTCCTCATTTGCAAAGAGTGAGAAAAACCTTCCCTGCAAGGGCGTCCTGACATGATAAGAAGGGGAAGGATCTATCTTTTTTACACTCACAGGCCAGCAAAAAAAAAAAAAATGGGGGTCTTTTTAACTGACCTGCTACTCTTCTTGCAGAAAAATTGTGGACTTTTTGTCTGGTCCATCATTCTACCAACGTGCTCAGATCTTTAGCCAACAGGATGTCTAGTTAGGCTTCTTTCAAGACAGCTCCTTTGGCTTCCGCAGGCTTGCAGGTTTCAGTGCCAACCTCAGGATGCGTTTGCCATGTAGCAGATTTATTTTATCTTGTTTAATTCTCTTTCTTTAGAGGAAAAAAAAAGCCCTCTGTTTCTGTATTCAGCCAAATTGTTCTTCCTTGTATTACACATTGTTGTTGTTTTTTTAAAAAAAAACCCAAAACAAAAACTGTTAACCCAAGTGTTTGATTCCCCCCCCCCCGCCCCCCAAATGTCCTTTAATGTTATTGTCTGTCTCCTAGCAAATGGCTCCACTACTGTGTGTCCTGCCTGGGAGATTTCCAGAGCATCTGCTGAACACCACTGGAAAGGAAGATGCTGGGCTTTAGTGGAACGACAATTAAAAAGCGAAATGCTCACCTTCAGGAAGAGTCCATCTCAGAACTCCAGTTCCAAGTCACAAATAAAAGGAGCGTAGCCGTCTGTTTTGCAGACCTCTTCGGCTGTCGAGTGGGACAGCGATAATTGATCCAGTGAGCTGGTTTTTGTGATCTTATTAATGGGGCCTAAAACGAGAGCAAACAATGAAGGCCACATGTTCAGGAGCAGCATCGCTCCATGGAGAAAGAGCAAATAGCTTTTCTGTTACCATATGGCCTGTTGCTGAATTTTCCCAGCCACATCTGGCTAGAAAAAAGAGGTTGGGTCCCGCCAAGCACGAACTGCACCCATAAATCGTTTGCCCAAGAACAATTGGCTTTATTTTATTTTTTGCCAACTGAAGAAAAGGCAGGGCTTTCTCTTAATTGCATAGAAAGTGAAATCACTTTTGATGCTCTGCGTGGGAGGGAGACGAGAAGGTTGTCCTTAGCAAGCCCTTGGTGGGCAGGGGGGGGGAGAAGAGAAAACCCTGGTCCTCAGCTTGTTCCTCCAAGACCCAGATGATGACTTTACCCTTTTCGAGGCTCAGTTGTCCCAAATTGGCAGCCTGCGATATTGACGGATCTGGCATAAAGGAAGGCAACATAATTCCATTTGTTTTGAACGACAGCTATTTGTTCTGCTTAGCAGGGCCAGCTTTCCTATCCCCTTCATTTCCTAGCCATGCATGAAAGGAGCCTGGGCCTCCGGAGGAGACAACCAGCTCTCTTTTGGGGGTTTTCAACAGAGCAGGGGATGAAACCCCCCCACAGCTCTTGGTCAAGGCAGCAGGGTCTCTTTTTCAGTCGTAGCTGCCTGTTTCCACCTTCCCACACTTGGCTCTGTTAGATCCCGATTCAGAGGAGGAGTGGGAATGGGAGGTCGTCTCCAAATGAGAGCCGAGAGCCCCAGGGCTGAGGACGAGGCAGTCCCAGGGCCATCTGGCAGTGGGCTGGGGCAGGGGCAGCTGACACGAGATGGAGGTGGGTCATTTGTCGCTGCAATAAGTGAGCCATAAACAGACCTTCCTTAACCTCTGCCTTACCAGCATGACTTGGGTCAGAAGACTGGGAATGGGACAGCTTGCCACAGCAACTCAGCGTGGCTAGCTCGCTGTGGGACAATTTAAACAGATAATCAGAGTTGGAAGGGACCTTGTAGGTCATCTAGTCCAACCCCCCCCCTCCACAAGCGGGAGATCCTAAACCATTTCTGACAAATGGGAGTCCAATCACTTCTTGAAGGTCTCAAGGGATGGCGCTCCCACGACTTCCGAAGGCAACTTCTGTTCCATTGGTTGATTGTTCTCACTGTCGGAAAGTTTCTCCTTATTTCCAGGTTGAATCTCTCCTTGTTCAGTTTCCACCCATTGTTTCTTGTCTGGCCTTTAAGTGCTTTAGAAAATAGCTTGACCCCTTCCTCTCTGTGGCAGCCCCTCAGATGTTGGAGCACTGCTATCGTGTCTCCCCTGGTCCTTCTCTTCATTAGACTAGCCAGGCCCAGTTCCTGTAACTGTTGTTCATACGTTTTAGTCTCCAGTCCCCTAATCATCCTGGTTGCTCTTCTCTGCACTTTTTCTAGAGTCTCAACATTTTTCTTATAATGTGACCAAAACTGGATGCAGTACTCTAGGTGTGGTCTTACTAAGGCTTTATAGAGTGGTATTAGTACCTCCCTTGATCTTGATTGTGTCCCTCTGTTAATGCAATTTAGAATTGCATTAGCTTTTTTGGCAGCTGCTGCACACGGCTGGCTCATATTTAGCTGGTTATCCACTAAGACTCCAAGATCCCTCTCACAGTTACTGCTATTGAGCCTGATTTCACCCAGTCTATATGTGTACTTTTGGTTTTTCCTGCCTAAATGTAAGACTTTATTTTTCTCTACATTGAATTTCATTTTTTTTAGATATGGCTCAGTGTTCTAGTCTGTCAATTAAATTCCATTTAATTATTTTGAATAAAATAAAAAATAATAATGGTTGCCATTTACATCTGTCCCTCCTTTTGCACCTTTTCTTTAATGATTCTATTCCACCAAGTGTTACTCTTGTCCCGCAGCGAGTTGGCCAGGGCGAATTGTCACAGACCCCAGAAGACTTACTGGTGGCTAAGAATCCCATCTCTTGCCTCCCATTTTCAGTGGCGTGATGGAACCTGCATTTTCAATTCAGGTTTCTGTGAGAATTCTACACAGCATCGCTTTTGTCAGACCCAGGAATGTTGGAAACGGCCATGTATCCGACAGGGCAATTTCTTTGCCTTGTGTTGTCTTGAGAAACCAGCGGAGACCCTGACTCAGAATTCCTACTTCCTCTCCTCCACCTCCTTCCCTTGGGATATTCTACAGTACATACAACGCATGCTCCCTTTGCAGAGCTCTCTGTCTTTATGGGAATATTAGAATGCTGCCCTAGAGCTCTTCAAACTATTTTCCCAGGTAGCTCGGTATTATTCACGTGGCTTGCAGGAGCTGGTCTGAGATGGCAAGAGAAATTTCTTCTCGGTTGTAGCAATTCCTTTTAAGAAACCCGGAGATTGACTCTCGCCAATCACAGAGCACAGTCTTGCTTTCCCCACCTAGTTTGCTTTACTTCATGTGAAAGCTGGTTTAATTTGATATTTCTGGATATTCCTGTTTTCAACTCTGGGGTCCTCTTGCTTCTCTTAACTCCTTGAATATTTATTTTTAACGTATTGATTGGGAGGAGGAAGGCATCGGGCAATATTAACATGATGGCTAATATATGAAGACTTCTTGTTTAGAAGCAGTATACCCCCTGAATATTAATTGTTTAAGACAGCTGAGTCATTTTATGAATAAACCTTCCAGAAAGGTCTATTGGTCCCTGTTGAAAAAAATGTGAGGGATAGTCACCCTTTAATTTGGGCACATTCGGGAATTGCAGTTTCTTTCTCAAGGTTGCCATAGATTTGGAAAGGGGAGGTTCTGGTTGTATAATTATTGGGGGTGGCCCCTCTCAAAATACAGTTAACAGCAAGAAAACCTGTGAGATTGATTTCCACCCATTCCAAGTTTTTTTTTTAATAGAAGAAAATATTTGAAGTTCAGGGTTGAACTGGGGTCCTCGGTGCTCTCTGAGCTTGATCGTTTTCTTACAGACCTTTCTTTACCAAACTAGGTAGCAGCATCAGGTGGGTGAGTGGGTGGTTAAATAGATAAGTGGATGGTTTTAGGCAGTGTGGTTTATGCTGAAAGACACCGGATTCAAAGCAGGAGACCCAAATTCTAGTTTTTTTCTTTAGAGTCAGAAGTGTCAGCACATGCAACAACAACTACTTGTGAGTAGCCTCAAGCAGAAGTTTAATTGATAGTCACTTGGGTTACAAGAATATCTCTTGCATTCCCTTGGGAAGGGAGCAATACTTCAGGGATTCTGGGGAGGTGTGGCCCCGGCTGCAGCTTTCTGCAGTGCCAGGACTCTAAGCTTGGCCCGCTCTTAACACCTCCCTCCAGTCTAGCTGGAAATTTCACTAGAAGAAGCCAGCTGGGTGGCCTTTGACCCGTCGCTCAGTCCAAATGTCACTCAGTCCAAATCACCATGGGGTTCTGCAACAAGCCAGCTTTAAACAAAAAAACCAAAAAACTTTGCATGGATACGCTTGAGGGCGAGGACAAACAAGCGCAGCTAGCATCCTACAGCTAAGCAGGACAAACAATAAGAAAGCCCATCTCAGGTAAATTTAATCATGAACCACAGCTAACCCTTTTTTAAAAAAAAAAACAAACTCTAAGATGCTGTTGGACTTGGAGAGGTCCTTGAAAGTAAAGATGATGCCTGAAGCATTTACTCTGCACTTTCAAAATGAGATCTTAACAAGGTTACTGAGGCAGGCTATCCATGATGTCTCAGCCTAACCTATTGAGTAGGCCACCCCATACAGGAATATAGAAGGAGGGAGCAGAGGTGACATACTTGCTACTATAACCAAGAATCAGACTTCTCTGAAAATCCTCTCTCTTCTTCTGCAAGCAGAAAGTGAAGGGGCAGTGGCATCCCCTAGGAAAGGAGGGGACATGATGTGTTTCTTGAGGGGAAAAGAGGAAGTTGAGGAAAAAACATGAGCCGCAATGGTCAGAGTGCAGTACTGCAGGCTACTTCTGCTGATTGCCGGCTGCCTGCAATTTGGCAGTTCGAATCTCGCCAGGCTCAAGGTTGACTCAGCCTTCCATCTTTCCAAGGTCAGTCAAATGAGGACCCGGATTGTTGGGGGCAAGAGGCTGACTTTGTAAACTGCTTAGAGGGCTGTAAAGCACTGTGAAGCGGTATATAAGTCTAAGTGCTATTGCTATAGGAGGGATGGTCTGAGGGGAGAAAAGCCCAAGAAGCAAGGAAATCAGATCTCTGTAAGGAGAAGAAAGGAGTGCAAAGGTAATTATTACAATTCAACTTCTAACAAGGAACACGAGTTTAAAAAATAGGCTACTACTTCTGACTGCTGGCAGTTCGAGTCTCGCCGGCTCACGATTGACTCAGCTTTCCATCTTTCCAAGGCTGGTAAAATGAGGACCCAGATTTTTGTGGGCAGTATGCTGACTCTAAATTGTTTAGAGAGGTTGTAAAGCATTGTGAAGCAGTATACAAGTCCAAGCGCTATTGTTATTGCACAGTGGCTGCCTGAGACAGGAAATCTGGTGGGGCTTAAGCAGGGGCGGGCTTCAAAAATTTCAGCCACTGGTTCTCTGCCCGGTTGCTGGGTGGGCACGGGCATGGCCTAGTTGGCCTCCTGCACCATGGTGGGGAGGGGGGGCGTT